AGGGCGCGCGCAGCGTCCCCCCTTTCGTCCGCATGGTGTTGGTGAGGGGACGAGAGCATCGTTTTCACCCCCCTTCCTCCATTCCAGTCCATCACATTGATATTCTAAATAAAATTCAGTAAATCAGACAGGCTGAACCTAAGTTATATGTTTATTTATATATGTATTACAACTATGATTAGAGAGCTTATGACCTTTGAAAAGTCCAAAGAATTTCAGGACACTGAAAACTGGATCTCAATTTGCATTCATTGTTAAAATAAATTAACATTTGCTTTATTAATAAATTTCCCCAAATTAGGAAGAAGGCTTCAGCCAGTTAAAATTTTGAAAGGTATAGATGGTAATAAGGAAAGCATTATCACAAATTATTATATACATTCTAAAAAGGAAATCTACACCCAACCAAAAGAACATCCATAGACAGTGGATGCAATGGCTTTCTTTAAACAAAATGTCCCATCAACCCAAGTATTTTCAACCACAACTTGTGAAAATACTGAAACTTACTGTATTTTCCATCCCACTTCTCCTCCAGGAGCTCCTACTTAAAATATTGGCTATAATATGGATTTATTTATATAGCCGCCCATTTCACACAGTGACTCTAGGCAGTGTGCAACAAATAAAATAACAAATAGATAAAAACAATCATTATAAAAGATAAAAATGATTATTAAAACATCATCAAAACATCATCAAAAAGTTTAAAAATCTCTCGGTTGCACCTCATTTGATGAATTGTGAGTGAGGATGGTAGGGAGAGTTTATATATGAGTATATACAGTATATGGGAGAGTATATATGAAGCTAATAATATTTCAGAAATCTTATGTACTCTCGAACTCCATACATTATATGATGATCTGTAGTTAAAAGGTAAAGAAGCAAATAATTAATTTTGAAAGGATACTTTTATACATATACATATACTAGAATATTATTTACAATATCAGATTTGATCACATAATAGGTAATGGATACACCTGCATTTTATAGCTCTTTATTCATTTTTTAAAATATGTTAGTGGAAGAATATTCTGTAATACCTGAGAGTTTTATGATAATTTTTATTGCTGATTTATACTGGCTTGCTTTAATATATGACTACATCAGTAAAGCTAATAATGACTTAACTCAGTGATGTCAGGACAAGTACAACTTAAAATTCTTCTAGTGAACAATGTAGTACATTGTTGGTGCTATATTATGTTAAATAGCAAAAGCAAGAGCATATTATTACTTTTAAGCATTTTTCCCATTTCATTGAACTAACTTAAATGGGAAATTAAATGAGAATAAACAAAAACAAAAAACAAAAACCACACAGTGGAATAGCTGTTGTGTTTCACAATCCTTAAAATAACCTTAAATCTAAGTTATATACAACATTAATAAAGCTAATTCAGATTTGATTTAATAAAAATATGTTCTGTTTTTACTATAGTGTTTATATTCATAAACAAAGATTTGGAATGTGCTACATTTCATATTTCTTAGCTCTGTACTTTATATTACTTTTTCAGCACATTAAAACTTATGCAGTGAAACTGAATAATGGCAAGTATTTTTATACCCCTTTATAGCTATTTTTTTCATAACCTCCTCCTATTTTGGGTTAGCTAAACTATAAGCACCTTCCTGTTAATTTATGAAAATTATTGTTGTGATAGCACATTATCACTGATCTGTATGGCACTTTCTCCATGTTAGAAAAAAAGGTCTAAGCAACATAAAACACATCAAAATTCATTAATGTGGTACTGTATTGATTATTTTTTGGATAATTAATTTTATTGCAGACCCTTGAAAGAGATAATGAGCTGCAAAGGGAGAATGCAAAAGAAAATGAAGAAAAGTTCTTTAATCTTCTGAATGAATATGAGAAAGCACAAGCAACTTGGAAAAATGAGGTTGGTTTATTATTTAAATGCTGTTGTTTTAACAGGGTTACCAAGTACTGAGCAAAATGTTCCAAAAAAACTCAGAAGTCTAGGAGAAGATGACAAAAATAAGAATAGGACAAAATATTATTTGCCTTAAAAAGCTTCATCAAGTTGGTACAATAAAGACATCTCTATAATACTCTGAGAGCTTGAATTTTTAAGATATCTCATTATTGGGTGTTTTTCAAAGTTATAATGGAAACTCAGTTTTAAATAATTGAAAGATCTCTCTGTAATGATTTGCATATATATCTAAACTGTTAACCTAGAGGTCTGAATTCACATACCAAAATTATTTTTATTCATTTTAACATTCTTCCATTTAAATAAAACTTTATTTATAGTGGAGTAGGGTATCAGGAGTGGGGTTCTCTGATACTGAAGAGATCAAATATTTTTTTCTTTCCTCCGCCTTCTGGCCCTTATAGAATTGTCTCTTAGTTGGAAATACTTCCTCAAAGGCAACAGTTACAGTTCCATAGTGGTTCTGAACTGGCTTATTGTTATGCTTAAATATTTTTGTTTTATTATAACACTGGATGTAATTATAGTCAGGTCCAGAAATATTGGGACATCGACACAATTCTAACATCTTTGGCTCTGTACACCACCACAATGGATTTGGAATGAAACAAATACAATGTTCCTTAACTGCATGCTGTCAGCTTTAATGTGAGGGTATGTACATCCAACTCAGATGAATGGTGTAGGAATTACAACAGTTTGCATATGTCCCTCCCACTTGTTAAGGGACCAAAAGTAATGGGACAGAATAATAATCATAAATCAAGCTTTCCCTTTTAAATGCTTGGTTGCAAATCCGCTGCAGTCAATCACAGCCTGAAGCCTGGAATGCATAGACATCACCAGACGCTGGGTTTCATCGAGAGTTGACAGCAACAGATTCCAAATGCAAATAGCACACTTGAAATGAACTCTGGGCCTTTTATCTGCACATTGTAATTGGGGTACTGAGGGGATATCACACACCTGGCCATGGAACAGCTGAGAAGCCAATTGTCCCATTACTTTTGGTCCCTTAACAAGTGGGAGGCACATATGCAAACTGTTGTAATTCCTACACCATTCAGAGAGTTGACAGCAACAGATTCCAAATGCAAATAGCACACTTGAAATGAACTCTGGGCCTTTTATCTGCACATTGTAATTGGGGTACTGAGGGGATATCACACACCTGGCCATGGAACAGCTGAGAAGCCAATTGTCCCATTACTTTTGGTCCCTTAACAAGTGGGAGGCACATATGCAAACTGTTGTAATTCCTACACCATTCAGAGAGTTGACAGCAACAGATTCCAAATGCAAATAGCACACTTGAAATGAACTCTGGGCCTTTTATCTGCACATTGTAATTGGGGTACTGAGGGGATATCACACACCTGGCCATGGAACAGCTGAGAAGCCAATTGTCCCATTACTTTTGGTCCCTTAACAAGTGGGAGGCACATATGCAAACTGTTGTAATTCCTACACCATTCATCTGAGTTGGATGTACATACCCTCAAATTAAACCTGACAGTCTGCAGTTAAAGCACATTGTGTTTGTTTCATTCCAAATCCATTGTGGTGGTGTATAGAGCCAAAGATGTTAGAATTGTGTCGATGTCCCAATATTTCTGGACCTGACTGTATATTTATTTTGAATAGATACTCTTACAGAGCAATATTTCTAGCTATCAGTACATTTGAAACAGTAATTAATTTTTTTCAATATGCCAAAGAGAAGGATAAACACATTAAACCTGACAGTCTGCAGTTAAAGCACATTGTGTTTGTTTCATTCCAAATCCATTGTGGTGGTGTATAGAGCCAAAGATGTTAGAATTGTGTCGATGTCCCAATATTTCTGGACCTGACTGTATATTTATTTTGAATAGATACTCTTACAGAGCAATATTTCTAGCTATCAGTACATTTGAAACAGTAATTAATTTTTTTCAATATGCCAAAGAGAAGGATAAACACAATAGTTGCCAATAAAGGTATTTGGACTATTTCTTGTAGAAAAGAGGGTATATCGGTAAGGATAACAAAATACCCTAAAGGATATTTTATAGTCTACAACACTATTTAATCCGTTCCACACATTTACTTAATGGATTTCATATACAGTAACCATCCAGTGATGTTTCCTGTGTGATTAGTTGGGGTGTGCAAGGTTTAGAAATTGTTTGGAAAAGTCCTTTGGTCATGTTCCTTAAGCAGATGGCTTTTTTCCAGACTTCTGTGGAAGACAGAAGCTGCTTTAAGGAGTCAACTCATTAAAGATAATACAAATGTTAAAGCAGAAACATTTTTTTCTAGGCTGGTGCAGAAGGGCTGCTTTAATTAATAGCAGAGAGGTGCAATGCGTGTGCTGAATTATTTTTGAAGCATGCAAAGTTCTAATGAAAATTTCACAAATTATTTTGTGAAAACTTTTCCCCAGATACAAAACACATACTACAAATTTTGTTCAGATTGCTATTAAATCTTTTAACATTAATATTTTAAAAATAAAAACACAGTTAGTGGTACTATAAGTTATCATGAATTCTAGAGTGCACTCAGTTTAAATATAATTGATGTCTGATTTTATTTGAAAATAATCAAAAGCTACAAATTATATTATAATTGTTTTATACGTTCCATAAAAATGTTATAATGTGCAAGAAAATATTATTTTTGATATACAAGGGCACCATATTTCTTATGCACTTCTGTAAGATCCAAGCATTTCCATCACTGCCTTCCCTATACAGTATTTTAGCTGTTACTAGTAAATTCATAACTACTGATCTCATAATATTTATGAAATTAAAAAAATTAACAGTGTAAAACTGAACACTTAAAATCTTATAGGATTATAAATATCTTTATATGATTTTTACATTTTTTAGTAGCAAAAAGTCCAAATTTTATTTAGCCTCTTCTTTAAAGTGACCAAAAAGTATCTCTTCTCCCCAGTCATTATTATTATTCCATTACTTTCCTCCCGCTTCATGTCAAATTAAGGGTATTAGAATTTTCAGTTCACTATCTTCCATGTAATAAAAATCTGTAACATGCCTAATTATAATTTTTTAACTGAACACGAAAAGTGCACTTATAAAGCTTCAAAAAGACTGAGGGAAAACATTTTAATGGGCTTTCTGCTATTTATTCAGGACCGGTAGTTGGGAATCAAAAATACACTCCTATCGTAATATAGGTCAATACAGCAATAACATCCTTTTTTAGATGTATATCTAAATGCTTGCCAATATTTTCTCTTGCATTATTTTCATTAGGATATATGTTGGAATGCATGCCTCAGTGTAAAGGAGTAGTATCATTCCTATTTGGGAATAAAAATATGTTTCTTTGTCTAGAACCATTTCAGTTCTATTTGTAAAGTCAATGCTAAAAATTACTGCAGAGCAAATCATCTCTCTCTCCATTTCATTTCTTCAAAAACAAAACTATTTTTTTTTTTTTTGGTTTTGTTCCAGGCAGAAAGCATATCTAACGAAAATCAAATCCATAAAGACCAAAAAGATGAAAAGTATACACAAACGTTTAATGATTGTGAACTAAAAGAAAATGGAATAAACAATAATCTGCAGACAGACTGTGGTATAAACATAGAGAAAGAGCATTCAGAATGTTTTGAAGGTATAAATATTCATAATTAAAACATAAAGTATTGATAATCAGTCAATGTTGTAGAAAGATGTAAAGTAGGTTTTCCCCCCTTTGTTTCTACAATGCCAGTAGAAACACCAGCATTGAGCACCCCTCGACATGCAGTATTTGTGCCAGATCTCACATCTGAACAATGTCACTGTATTCTCACAAGTCTATGTATTTCTGCAGCTGATTAACTTCCAGCTCAGTTGTGGTAGAGGTAGAAAAACTGTGAGTAATGCAATAATGCTAGAGGTATAAAATGGGCAGATTTTTGTTAACAAGAATTCTTGCCTTATCCTGGCCCACAGCAATTTGACTCTCCCTTCCACCTATCTGAAGTCAAGGTACCAGAATACTTTGCCATCTTTTCATGTGTTTTTTAACTGACAAAAAAGCAATGAGGAAGTAGAGTGATGACCGAAAGCTAATTTTCAACTATTTCATTGGTAATTAGGAAAAAGCATTCGTCAGTTTATGGAGAGTACTATCTTTTGCAAGAGTGGCCATCCTTGGAGTGGTATTGAAATAATAATGATCTATAGGGCTTTATAGGTGATCACCAACATCTTGAATTGGCCCAAGTACCATGACACAAAAGGTATATCTCCTTGGTCCTGCAAAATGACACTGTTAATAGAGGGGATCTGAAGCATACTCATTCCATTGTATATGGCAGAATGGGCAGACACTCTCAGAGACAGATGGTTTCACAAATGAGACCTTGAGGCTTTAAAGGTGATAATTAACACTTTGAATTGCATCCTGAAACATACTGGAAGCCAATGCAGCTTGGTGTTGTAGTGGTGTTGCATAGGCTAGCTTTGAAACACCCAAAACTGTGAGTGTAGCTGCATTCTGAACCAGTTGAAGTGTTATTCAAGGGCAGCCCCATATACAACACATTGCAATAATCTAATTAGGAAGTGACTAAGGCATGAATGGCAGTAAGCAGAGTCTTCTGGTCCAGGAATGAGTTCAACTGGCACATGAGACGAATCCATGCAAAGACTCCCTAGCCATGGCTGTCACCTGCCCTTTGAGCAGGACCTGTGATTTCAGGAGGACTCTCAGATTGCCCACCAACTCTGGGGGAGTGCTACCCCATCAAGAGTTAAAACAGTTAGTCCTGCAGCACCTGACAAATAAGCAGGCACGGGCTCAATTTCTCCCCTTCTTTCAACATGGAAATATACCGGAACCAGCATTGGAGAAAGGAGGAGAACCACTGCAAAATAACACCTCCCATTCCCAACCCCTGAAGCTGGTCCAGAAGAATACTATGGTCAATGGTATTAAAAGCTGCCAAGAGATCTAGAAAGGCAAGGATGGATGCACCATGCCCATATAAATCCATCCAAAGTCATCCACAAGTGTTACCAATGCTGTCTCAGCACTATAATCCAGCTTGAAACTTAACTGAAAAGGGTATATATTTTTTCTCTTTAGGAAATAATACATACTATTAAATATTTGAAAACAGGAACATCTCCTGGTGCTAATGGCTATGCTATTGAGAGGTGTATGACATTATTTACATTTTTGCTTTTAAGTACTGTATTGTTGTTTTTTGAATCAGGCTTTTATACCTGTGATTTTAAAAGCTGTTAAAGATTCTTCTGATTATGTTTTTTTAATATTTTAATATTTTTTAAAAAGTTTAAAAATTATATTAAAATATCACTCTATTTTGTTATTAAGTATTGATGTCAAGATTTTGACAGCAAAGTTGACATGTTAACTACAGATTTGATTATCTATCCTGCACAATCTGGTTTCATAAAAGGGTGACAAGCGACCCTGGGATAATATGGGACAACTAATTGGTATTTTATATATACAGTCAGAAAATCTGAAATCAGGAGTAAATTGTGAAAAAAGCCTTTGATAAGGTACAATGAAAATTTTTGAAGCAATTTCTGGGCAAATGTATGTCCTTTTTTTTATTAATTTGATTAGTAAATATTATTGTACTTATCCTTCAGTCAGGATTATTACAAAAATTGTTTCTTCAGTTAAGATTGTGGAATTTGTCAAGGATGCCCTTTATCTTTTTAATACTATATTTGATATTGCAATTGTTAGTCTGTCTTTTCAGGCAATTGAATGACATTCTAAGCAAACAAGAGACTGAGCACAAATTGTTATGATATGATATATTTTGTCATTGATAATTATGGCTGTTCCATATGAGTTATTGATATAGTGCTACAGTTTGGTAATTATCAGTTTATTCAATTTGTATAGAAATTGGTTTGTATAGAAGTTGGGGGTTTTCTATGTGTTTGCATTCTTTTAAATATTTTGGAATAATAACCTGAAGGAAAATGTGTTCATTTGTAGATGAAAATATATTCTTTGTAAAAATGAATGTTATTTTAAGACTGATTGGTATATGTACAAAATTAATATATATTAATATATTTAAGGTACTTTAAGTACTTTGATATGTTATTAAGAAAGGTTTATGGGAAAGATAAACTTCTAGATTTTCTTTATTGCAGATCATAGCTATCATATGATGCTGGGAGGTTTAATTTTCATGACTTTCAGCTTTATCATTGGATTTAAATATTGACCACTAATTCTCTATAGCAGTATTTCTTAAACCTTTTGCTCTCAGGATTCCTTCCCACTTTTAAAAATTATGGAGGACCCCAAAAGAGCTTTTGTTTGTATGGGTTATATTTATCGATGTTTACCGTATTAAAAATTAAAATTGATGCATTTGTAGAATATTTATTTATTGAATCATTTAAAATAACATTAAACCCATTAGATATTACCATAAATAAAATATATTTCATGAAAAGAACTATATTTTTAACAAATAAAAAATAAGAATAAGAATGACATTGTTTTAAATTTTTCCAAGTATCTTCAATATCTGGCAAATAATTTTGATTTTATAGACCTCTGAGAGGGTCTTGGGGGACTCCCAGAGGTCCTCGGACTACACTTTAAGGAACACTGCTCTATAGAATCCAAGTGATCATGCTCAAAACCCACTGTTGGCACAATTAGAAAGATATTATGTCCACTATGATATCTTGGGGTGTGGATCTTCCAGTTAAAATTTAATTAAATTTCCAGCTACCTCTTGCATTAAAGGTTGCAAGAGGTAGCTGGAAGATGTTGGAATGGAAGTATGATTTTGTAAATTTTCTTTTACAAAGGAAAAATAGTGCCACACCATCTCAGATTTACAATCTTGGATTGAGGATATACTTAAAAAGAGGTGCTTACCCTTTTTAAGCACCTACCTCTGCAACTTTAATTTCATACCTCAGGTTAACATTAACTAGTCTGAGCTTTACACTGAGCTTCTTAGTTGAACCCCTTCACAGCAGAGGTGTCTATGAGAGGAGCACAAGGGGGTGCAGAATGATGAAAGCAGTGTTACAGCATTCTCAAGCAAGCCCTGTCCGTTTTGTAAAGGTATCATGTCACATGTGCATACAAAAGGGGTGAAGCTTGTAGTACAGTGCTGCTTTTGTCATTCTGATTAAAAGAAACAAGCTCCTGAGAATATTCAAAGGTGCTTGCCTCTGGAAAAATAGCAAAGGATATAGAGACAGAGTGACGTTATGACTGCTCTTATTTTTTATCTTCTGAACATTATGGGCTGCCACTATGAGTTCCCTCTGGATGGTAGAAAACTATACCACATTGAAAGCCAAGCATGACCAAAACAGATAGAAGTAAGAATACATTAATGGATTACAAAGTATTTTGTATGCTGTTGCAATTTCCACTACTAGGGATTGGTACTATTTTTAAAAAAGCATTTTGCATGTGTCCATATTATGTGAAACATATTTTAAAAGAATTTTATTTTTCAAGAATTTACTGTTAATAATGTATTCTGTATCTTAACAGATTTGGAATGATTTACTAATTGAATGAGGGTGATACAATTAGTTTTTTTCAGAAAAAGCTAAAGGGAGATTGTTATAGCCAAAGCCCTTTATATGTTCAGTTAGTTACACCAGAACTGACCTATAGTCATGCATTGATAAGTGTGAAGAAAAGGCAGTTATAGGAAAGAAGACCAAAAAAAACCCCAATATCTATTTGATAAAATACTGGCAAAAGTAGAAATAATTCCCTTAGACAATTTCTATTGTGTGGTGAAGTTGCCAGTGGAAGAACCTAAGGCTTTCTTAAAAAGAGGTGAAATCAGATTGTTCTAATCCCACTACAGATGTGGCACATTCTATTGAAAATCTGGATGCTGGTGTTGCAAATGAATATATTTCTGAGAGTACTGAAAATATCAACAATACAATCTATGAGGAAGATTACTTGACAAATAAAGGAATAAGTAAAGAGTTTAAACAACAAATTAAAATTACTTGTGAGAAAACTGCAAATAACCATTTGAAATCTGAAATGGATTCTGTGTTGTTACAAGCAATAAATACAGTCTTCCATGATGGTGGTCTGGATAAGTATGATGATACTAGTAAAGCAGAAAAAACATCACCAAAACATAGCATGGATTGTATACCCTCCAGTAAGAATACAGGTGTAAATATTCATATTGATGAGAACATTAATAATTTACTTCTGATAAGAACTTTAAGTACTGAAAATTCAGCTACAGATATAAATGAAATGCCAAGCAAATACTTCGATAAATATAGTTCCAAGTTGAAAGAAGTGAATACAAACAAGGTTTTGCTCCTGGACCCTGAAAATATATATGAATCTGAAATTGGAGACATGAAAGTTAACAAAGTTGCCAAAGACAAACAGAAACGCTTCCATACTTCCAAAGCCAATAGTAAGCAATTTATTGAATTTTTTAATGAAGAGAAGGTTTTGCTTACAGAAAGAAAAAAATCATTGAATACAGTTATGAGGAAAATAACTGTGGAAGAAAGCACAAAAAAATCACATTCCTTGCTCATGAAGACAACAGAAGATTTAATAAACAGAAATGGAAGGCTATCCTTTGACGTTCCAGTTATGGATGAAAAAACAGAATACTTAAATTTATCAAGTGTATGTGAAGATGGAGTTCAAATAATGCCTTTCTTTTTGAAAGAAAGCCCACTCTCACAAGAAGTAAGAACTGCTCAGAGCTCAAGAAAAATTGATGAGGCTATAAACATGCATATTGATGTAAGACAAGAAACACCAGGTAAGAAAGTATTTAAATGGTAAGTTATTTAAAATTATATACCCACAATAATAGCTGACATAAATTGACATCCATTCCTAAGCACAGCATGTACTAGAATTTGGGGAGAAGAAGGGAGGGGGTTGCTGCAAAGCAAGGAAGCAGGTGGGACAATCAGACAGACTGGGTAAAAGTTGAACATTGCTGCCTACCTGCCCAATGGGGAAGGGGTTATATAATGAACTTTTGCCAGTATTCTGCTGTAAAGGCTTTTGCCTGGTGGATTTCCTGGTGATGTGTTTTTTTTAACTCGGCGAGTGTGACTGCATGCTAGCAGAACCACTATGAAGGACATTAGAGATTGACTAGCTTGAGTGTATTGTGGGATCAGGAAGAGGGTATTGCTCTAGCTTCAG